TTATATTTGTGTGTTTATTAAATTGTCAATCATATAAAAATTACATATTTACAAGTCATTGGTAATAATTAGACAAACAAAAAAACCAATATGTATAAGAACAACTAACAATAATGAAAGGACAAGAAAGTTATAAAAAAAAAACATTATAGTAAAAAAAAATACACTGTACACATATAAATCATAGTTTGAACTCCAGTGCATAAAGGGGAGTGGGGGGGGGCACAGGAATAAAAGTTAAATCAACATGAGTATCATAAGTCAAATCGCCATTTCTTAAAATGCGAAACAAGCTTGTTCCTTTTTTTCGCTGAGAAATATTCAATATCTTTTTGTTTCTTTATAAAACTCTTAAAAAGATCAACACTTGGTAAATCCCCCTTACTTATTTTCTAAACTTCCATGATGACCTATTACATTGTATAATGCTTTACCTAGTAAGATGCATTGATCGAGGTAATTTCAGGTATTACATATTGATGAGCTACCTGAAATTAACTAGGAGGTATGCGCGTATTGGGGAATGTGGCTTGCTGCTCTACTTTAAAAAAAAAAAAACTTCCCATGACATGTAATGAGTGTTTAGTGTACATTATGTGGGACGTACAGTGATAGATGGAAAGTTATTTCAGTATATTCGAAATGACTTTTAGGCAACTGCTTTTTCCTCCCACTTCATCAATATTCATTCATTTCATTTCATTTACATAATGTCATGAAATGCATTCAAAAAATGAAGAAAAAAAGAAAGAAACAAAAACAACCCGTGAAAAAAAAATATTGTCGGCGAAGCATTTGTTGTAGTACTAGTAGCATTTGTATTTAATGGGACACTTTTTGGGCGGAGCAAATGTCGTCGGAGCAAATGTCACCGGAGCAATTGTCGCTTCAGGCGGAGCAATTGTCGGCGGAGCAATTGTCGGCGGAGCAAATGTCGGTGGAGCAAATGTCGGCGGAGCAAATGTCGGCGGAGCAATTGTCGCTTCAGGCGGAGCAATTGTCGGCGGAGCAATTGTCGGCGGAGCAAATGTCGGCGGAGCAATTGTCGCTTCAGGCGGAGCAAATGTCGGCGGAGCAATTGTCGCTTCAGGCGGAGAAATTGTCGGCGGAGCAATTGTCGGCGGAGCAAATGTCGGCGGAGCAAGTGTCGCTTCAGGCGGAGCAAATGTCGGCGGAGTAAATGTCGGCGGAGCAATTGTCGCGTTTTGCGGAGCAATTGACGGCGGAGCAATTGTCGGCGGAGCAATTGTCGGCGGAGCAATTGTCGGCGGAGCATCTGTCGGCGGAGCAATAGTCGGCGGAGCAACTGTCGGCGGAGCAACTGTCGGCGGAGCATTTGACGTCGGAGCAAATGTCGCGGAGCAAATGTCGCGGAGCAATTGTCGCGTTTTGCGGAGTAAATGTCGGCGGAGCAATCGTCGGCGGAGCATGTGTCGGGTTACCCATTAATACTATACTATTATTAAGCTTTGGGAGACATGTATCAAAGTACGATTAAAATTTTGTCCAAAATAAGCAATATGCATCATCTGTATTATTGCACGATAAAACATCTTCCCAATTTTCGGATTCTAATTTTTCGATTAGTCGAGATATATTCCGCTCAGTAAATCTTCGGACTTTAACTTTTTTGTTCGTTTTTGGAGGTTTAAGTATTTTTTTCAAGTATTAGAAACAGTGGTAGATGATCTCAGATCTCAGAGTATATTAAGCCTGACCCAAGTCATCCGATAGCTATATTAATAAATATATTGTCTATTAAGGATGATGAGCGGGTATCTATCCGTGTAGGTTTATCAATTGTTGGGAAAAGTGCATTAGAGTACATGAGTGTACGTAATCGGTTGATGTTATTATTATCCTTAATAAGGTCAATATTGTAATCACCCATTAAACACATAACTTTATTTTCATCATTAAGGTTATGTAATAAAGTGTCAAAGTCAGACAGGAATAGGTCTATTATTTTTTGATTGTTTGGAGGTCGGTAAATTACACATATAATAATTTTTTTTCTTTTCCCATATCGATTTCGACACAAAGTAATTCTGCACTATCATCTAGCCTAACTTTATATGATAATGTTTGTAAAATATAAAGGGCGACTCCACATCCTCTTTTAGTTTGTCTGACATGGTGGACAAATGAATAATTATGAATTTCAAATAAGTTCGGAGAGTTATCAGTCAACCAGGTGTCAGTAATTCCAATTACAGAGAATGGAAATGTAATATCAGACAACAATGAACAAATTTTATCGTAATTTTTAACCAAACTTCTGGCATTAGAGTAAAATAGACCAAAATTTGTACAATAATTACCTGTAACTGTAGAATTAAATTCTTCTGGTAAGTAATATTGACAATCGACAGATTGCTGTTCGTTAACAGTTACGTCGTTAACGGTAATCATTAAAGAGTACAAGTAATAAATGAATCCATGACCTGGTATGAAGTAATAAATATATAAGCATGCACCCTACGATGTCTAGAAATCCAAAAAAATACATAAGGAAACACAGATCTGATTTACAGATGCATTGCAATTTAAACATACGAAATATCAGGCCGAGTTTGTTTTGTCTATAGTAGAGTGAACTATGGTCTCTCCGTAACGTTATGATAAACATACACAATATTCTCTCTTAATACTGGGAAAACAGGTAGAGGGAGGATACGGAGAGAAGAAAGAAGTAACGATAAAGAGAAGAGAAGTGAAAGGTAGGAGGATGGAAAGATGTTTGTAAGAGATATAACACTGTAGATGTAGTATACACGGTATTAAAGTAATACATTGTATAATATGTATAATCAGGTTCTATATAACATTGTCAATAAAATGATAGAAAACAGGAATAGCGTTACCAATAAACTTGGAAGAAATAAAGTGTCTATTCCAAGGTTGACAATAAACTATTTTAGGATTTTAAGAAAAATGTGCTCTCAGCTGATCTAATGCCACTATTTAAGTAGCCTACCAGTTATTGTAACTTGTTACTGATAACAGGTTTCTATGAAACAGGTACCACTACCAGGTACACGAACACGGAATTGTTGGAATACGAGTGCGGAATTTAAAGCCACATTTTTCGCATCCTTTCACATTCTTCTCCACTATTTTATACAATTTTAAAATTCATTAGTGTCATGCATTTAAATGGTGATCTTTCTTCATTGTTTTGAAGACACACTTGTACGGTCTGTCTCATGGACTTATTTTAGTCACTGGGGTTATATATGTCTTTTGTGCTCCAGGCCTATTAAGGTATCCAATTTTGTTCCAACGACTTTTTACAACTTGGTAGAATCCAACAGTGGCGGATCTAGGGGGGGGGGGGGGTAATGCCTAGTCATAATTTCTACCCGCGAAATTTCGTGCGTGAGGTAGATGGGTTGAAACCGACCTTACAAAAACCAATTATATGATATATAGCAATTCGTTCAAGATGTTGCCCGGTGACATTATGTTCAACGGTGTTCTGATAGACAGGGTAACATCAACTAAATTTTTAGGTCTTTATATCGACGAACAATTGAAGTGGAAAACTCATGTAAATAATCTATGCAAAATATTATCAAGGAACACTGGTGTAATTCGTAGGTTGAAGTCTACTCTTCCTAAAAGCATATTACTTATCTTGTATTCAACTTTAATTCTACCTTATATTAATTATGGTGTGCTTGCTTGGGGCAAATCTCTAATAACACAATTAGATAAAATATTCTTTGCTCAAAAGAGGGTAATAAGAACAATCTGTAATGCTGACTTTCGTGCTCATACAAATCCTCTTTTTTATCATCATAGGATTTTAAAGGTAGAAGATATTTATTATATGCAATTGGGTTCCTTAATGTATGATCTCAACTCAGGTGTACTGCCACTGGCATTAGACAAGATTTTCAAGAGAAACAATCAAATTCACAATTATGCCACAAGAGGTGCTTCTGCATTCCACTTACCCCATGCAAGGACAAAGTTTACTCCCAACACTTTAGTTTGCACTGGACCAAGGTTTTGGAACACTCTTGACTCAAGCATTAGCCATTCTGTCAGTATATCTGTCTTCAAACGTAAACTGATATTGTACTTATTGAATAATTACTTAGTTGTTTCTTAATCTGTACTGTCGTGATTTATATTTGAACTTAATCCATTCCTCAATTTACTACTGTATAGCAACTGCCGACTTACCTTTTCCCTTTTCTCTCCTTTCTCGCCTGTAGCTAGCTTTCAGTTTACAGTGAAAGTATATATATATTTTTCTTTCTCCCCCAACTCGAGCTCTCCCTCTCTTCCCACTCCCGCCCCCTCTCTCCATGTCTATATCCCACATTATTATCACTCTTATCTCCCCCTTTTGTACATAGTCTCTTCTCCCCACCCTTTTTTATTACTCAGTTAAACCATGTGTATAATCATATGGTTATTGTTTATAGTTATTTGTTTTAGTACTTTAGCGCCTTTGACGAACATTTCTTGTATTAATCTATAATATAACCAGGCTGTTCTTGTTGTTTATGTTATTGTTTTTGAGGGACCTGACCTCTACAAGCTAAGCTTTAATTAGGTCTCCTCGTCTTTTCTTCTTTTGTTTTCTCATGTAAATGCATTGTATGAACTTGATTCTTATAAGTGTTCCTCTTATATACTTTGCATGTTATACATTTGTTAAATTGTATTACATTTATGTTGGAAGAAAGACAAATAAACTTGAACTTGAACTTGAACTTGAACTTGACTTTTGGGTCTGTTTTGAGAACTCTGACAGATACGTTCAGGTCGACAATTTTTTTGGGGGAATGATCTTTCCTCTAAGTAAATTAAGGACTTCAAATCGCATGGATAATAAAGGGTTTTTCGGGAGAGTCCCCAGACTAGCTATCAGTGCAATATGATGAATATTGTCTATCAATCTCTTGTTGAAGAACTGATAAAAATCATCTACAGGTCACTTTTTTTCTTGTGTTGTTTTATATTTCTTGTCTTTGTTTTCCCTACAGATTATTCAGCAACTTATCTTCAGAAGGGCGGTTCACATTTCATCTCCTTACCAACCACCACTACAACACGATTGTATATCGCAACCTTACTACAAACAAACGCTACAAATGGATTTCGAGTTGTGTTTCAAGACGTCCCGTATCTCGAAAATGATGATAATATAGTCCAAATAGGGATAGGTAACGATCCGTCTGACATACAGTCTGTCATCATAACTATCCATGGATACACAAGATACGCTCCTGACGATGTATATGTATATAACAATGAGATGTGGATTGCTGCCATAGGAGCAAAGAGTGACTCCGAGCTTAAAATGGACGTTGAGATCATTTCCATTGACCTATCAAGTGAGTGTTGAATTAATTTTATTTTAAAAAAATCGGTGGAATCTAAAGCTGTGTGTATTGAAGCAGTGATTACTGGTATCTTACCAGTTGTAAAATAAGAATTGTTCAATACAGGTCGAGTGATAAAGATAAACCATGTTTCCAGTTTTACCAGCAAAATAGTATAAAGAAGGCCAATTTTTAACGCGCCTTATTACTAAAAGTAATTAAAAAAACCTAGTGTATTCAATCGCAAAATGTCCAAGCATAATAATGTTATTTTTCTGTCCATCTTCTATTTTCTACCAGCCTTACTTGCCTGTTCAGGCTCCAAGATGATCGTGTTACCGACTCTCCTTTGCGATGGACTTTACCACTGCGATCATTACGAGGATGAATTAGCATGCAGTAAGTCAAAGATAAGCTGCTCGTTAGTACTGCGTTTCTTATAAGTATGACTAGTTTTCTGTACTTTGTGATTTTGTAGCATATGTTATTAATAACTAATTCTAAGATTCTATGAAAAATTTGCCCTCAGCCAATCGAATGCGACGAATTCAGTAGATTATACCAGTTATTGTAACTTGTTACTGATAACAGGATTTATGAAACAGGTCCCAGGTATACGAGCACGGAATTGTTGGTATAAAGCTACTATTAATACGAAGCCCTGTATTTCGCATTCTCTCACAATTTTCTCCAATGCTTTATAAAATCAAGAAAAAAGTAAACATCATTAGTTTCTTGCATTGTTATGGTGAACTTTCTTCATCATTTCTTTATTATTTTTTTACCTAAGCTCGTCTACTAGAAATCAAAGTGTGTGCGTGCGTGTGTGTGTGTGTGTGGGGGGGGGGTGCATGATAGTATGCACGTCGATAGTCACTTAGAGGTGTTCTTGTACAGAATCTTCCAGACAAGACAGGATTTATTTCAGAATTTAGGAGAAGCGCACCTTGCCGGTCATGGTATATATTTTTTCCATAGATTTTCTGTAGTATGGCTGCAACGCTTAGTGCAAATTCCTTCAAGAGTTCAGTTGGAACATTATCTGACCAATATTTTTACCTTCGGGTTTTACACCGGCCTTTCATGTCGTCGAATGGCTATATCTTTGTTTGACATTAAGCCTAAGATCTTTGGGAGGGGGTAGATATTGGATCCCTCGCACGGTGCGAGCCGCCAACGCCATGGTAAATACTCTATTTTCGATCAGTTCGATAGTAGCTTGATTGAAGGTGGACAAAGTGAGCTTTAGATAGACCCATTAACCCTAATAAGGCCGGGGGGGGCATTATGCCCTCCCCTCCACGATTTTTCCGATTGCTCGGGAACGCATATGGATGGCGCCCCGCCGCTCGCTGACTTTTTTCTTTTGAGTCTTGCGCAACTTTTAAAATAATTTTTTTGAAAATCAGACCTACGGTTACAAGGTCACGTGACCTTTTGTCTTTGCATGTCAGCCCGAAAATCGCTCATTTTCGTGATTTGTGTACAAAACACATGGAAAAGTCATTTTTCCTAAAAACAGATCAAACATGGGTTATTGGGTCTTGTTTAAAGTTTAGGTGGTTGTTTTGGGAGTCAAAATAGTTGAATTGTAGTAAGAAATGAAATAAAATAACAAAAACAATGAAATACATAAGTTAAAAAACCAATGAAATACATAAGAAATTATCAAAACAAGGGATAACATGAGGAATAAGCTGGCTCTTCCAAATTTTTTTGTCGTATTATTATTCAGAATGGTCTAATGGATATAGTGAAAAGGAATGCTTAAATATGAATAATATATGATTTATGGGTAAAATGTGATTTTTATGACTTTATTTGCATAAATTACCATAAATATCAAAATGAGTAAATTTTTCAAAAAATTGAAATTATCATATTATTCTATACACTTTACTTGACATGCGTGCAAATTTTCGCGGCGATCGGCCGCTTCGCGGCCGAGATCTTAAGGGGGGCCATAATGCCCCCCCGGCCATACTAAGACCTCAAATAGCCCGGCCTTTTTAGGGTTAAGCTGGTGACTATTGAAACAATACTCACTTAAAGGGATAGCCGAGTTCTGTTACAGAGGGCGCTACACAAAATATTTTTTTGTGAGATAATACAAAAATGGTTGTCAAATTTGAAAGAGCGTACAATTTAAATGACCAAATCATCTTTGTTTGATCAAATCGGTTCAGAGACGGCTGAAATATCCATAAATATAACGATTTATAATACTTGTGTACCACCACAAATATTAGATGTAATACCCCTACATTATAAGTAATACATTATCAAGGATATCCTTCAAGGTTTTATCTTTTAATAATAATAATAATATTTAATTTTTATATAGCGCTTAAAACAAATGTCTCTTTTACGTGATCAAAGATACTGCTTCAACACCATACTTTGCTGTTGTATATGATGGTCTGAACATATTTTTGTGTAAGCGAACGAAGCAAGCGAGCAAATCTTTCAAGATTTTTGAGGTCACATTGCGACCGTTTATTACAGAGCCTGATGGGGTGTTAAGTACAATCTCTTAATGAAAACAAATAAGACCTTCAATTTATTTCTTAATGACATGACCAGCGTGTCCACACACAAAACAATTTATCCCGAAACTCTATAACGAAACGTCGTGTAAAGAATCATCGTATAAATTTCAGAGTGTCCACACACAAGAAACATCGTATAAATTCCAGGATGCCCACACACAGAAGAAAGTAATCCTGAAACTCTACAGCGAAATGTCGTGTAGGTGCGCAGTTTGCTACTGCGGTCATGAAATGGAAGCGAAAATGAGAGGTCGCTTGAGGTCACGTTAAGCCCCGCCCAGTTAGTTACACTAGTTACACTCTCCCTGTTCACACACAACATTTTCCGTGATTAGGCGTGATTAGGCGTGATTCTTTATTGAGTTTCAGTTTGAAACGATGCCCAAACCTGCGTTTCGTTAGACTAGTTTCGTTATACGACGTATCGTTAGTGAGCGTCCACACACACAATTTTCATCGTAAAACTATCGCGAAACGGTATCACTATCGCGAAACGGTATAGCTAATCACGCTTTATCACGGAAAATGTTGTGTGTGGACAGGGGGGACATTTAAATGCAATCGTAGCGAGCGAGCTTTGGGGATTATTTGAGAAAAATAGCTCGCAGTCGATTTATCAAAGGGTCACATAATATGGGAGACTATGGGAAATCCATTTTTTGAGGGGAACTGAGAGGCGATAAGAAACATCGTATCATATAGCATATAATATGGTAATTATGTCTCGGTCTTTTTTTAACATGAATGACGGAAATGTAGGCTGAATGAAGTTGTCTTTAGAAAATTTGTACTGTCGAAACCTTTATATCCCTGAACAAAAAGCAGATGGTTACTTTTCATGTTATGATGTCAAAAAAAAAAAAAAGCGGACACTTTTTTTTTTTTTTTTGGTCTCGAAATTTGAAAATTTGACATTTTGCTCCGTTGGGGGGGGGGGGGGGGGGGGGGGGGGGTAAGGTTTTTTTTTTTTTTAATAATTAAAAAAAAAAAAAAAAAAAAATCCAAAGGGGGGGGGGGGTTTAGGGATTTTTTAGGGGGTTTACACACATAAATATACCAAAGGGGGGGTTTAACCCCCCAAACACCCTCCCCCCCCCCCCCTGCGTACGCGCCTGATTATTACAAACCGAAAGGGGCACTTGTCAAATTAAAAGGTGCATCTATCAGATCTGGATAGGGGCATTTATCAGAGGTGAAAAGAGGGGCACTTATAAGAAAGTGGAACGGACATTTATTAGAAAGATGAAGTGAGCACTTATTACAAGAGAAAAGATCACTTATTAAAAATGAAAAGGGGCACTCGTCAAAGTAAAAGGGGCACTTATCAGAGCTGAAAATTCGTATTTTTAATTCCTTAAAGGGGGCACTCATCACAGAAAAAAGAGGCACTTCTTACAAGGGAAAGTGGCAAATTTTGGAAAGGGAACGGGGCACGTGTCAAAGTAGAAGGGACACTCAGAAGTTTTTGGGAGGGCGCTATTTGTTGGCAGCCACAAGCGATATGTCGCTGGAATAAAATCAAGGTAAATTTATTGCTCACAGCCGTGATTTTCACTTCCTTTATAGTGAATTGTGTTATTTGTACTTTTGTCATCATTTTGAACCGGGATTTGTGCAATATTGAAGAATGGCAGCTCGTAAAACTACGTTTGTTTTGAACGCCTTGATACTGTTCTTTGGATTATGTATGTACATTACGTGTATGTGTGTGTGTACGCCAATTCCTTGGCGTCAAAGAGTGACGTTGAATGACTTAAATGGTAACAAAGCCATTTCCTTGAACTCTAAAAGGTCGCTCGACCCTGACTTAGAAAGGTCGCTTGATATCGTCCGTGAACCTAAATTGCTCCGGATCATCAATAGAACAATGGAACTGCAACGCATAACGTACTCTATGAATCAGCTTTACACATTACGTAAGCGGTCCAGGTTACCGTTGCCTGGTGATGTGAAGCAAGTTGCTAAGGAGTGTGGTATATTCCTAGCCCGCGGATGTAGGGGCGGATCTCGCAGGATCCGCCAACTTGGTGTTCGCATTACGAGTCGAAATGACCCCTCCCCACTATCAACTGATGCAACTCGTTCTAACCTTGTAAACATACATACTTCATCTAAAAAAAAAGTAAACACCACGAAAATTTGATTTCCCTCGAATGCTTATGAGCAATATTAGATCGCTATCCAACAAGGAGGATGAACTTCAAACAATCATCCATGAGAGCAATATTGACGTGAAACATGGTTGACCCCGGAAACTGTTGATTATTTCGAAATGAGTGGCTTTAGCCATCTTCACAAATGCAGAGATCATAAGAGAGGAGGTGGAGTATCCATTTACATAAATGAACAAATGCCACCCAGACCTGTACCTGACATACACGTTCCTGAAGACATCGAAGTGGTCTGGGGACAGATTCGGCCTCGTCGGCTGCCACGTGAGATATCAAGTATCTTTGTGGCGTCAGTCTACTTCCCACCAAATAGTGTCAACGAGCTAGAACTGGCCGACCATCTCATTAGCTCAGTAGACCAACTAAGGTCGAAGCACCCTTCTGCTGGCTTCGTCGTAATGGGGGACTTTAACCAAATGAACACGTGATCTGTACAAGCACTTCGCTCAAACAGATCGTCAAGAAACCTACCCGAAATACAGCTACATTGGACAAAATATTGACAAATATGAAAGACTTCTACAGCGAGGCTGACGTCATGTCACCGCTAGGACTGAGTGACCATAATTCTGTTGAGTGGGGTCCATTGAATATATTCCCCCCAAAACGGAACGTTTTCTCCAGACGAGTCATTAGACCGATGCGCGATTCTGACATAAGATCCTTCGGCCGGTGGATA